GGGGGTAGAGCTCCTTCCTCCTCTTCTTCCTCGTTCTCCGGGAAGAGCGCTCGGATCTCCCGCGGGAGCCGAGGGGGCGTGGCCTCCTCTCCAGATATGGTCGCCTCATTTGAATAGGAGCGTCATCGCCGCCTCCCATTGGACGTCGGGGCCGGCTCGGCGCTCCGAACGCACGCGCCGCCCAAAAAAAGTGGCTGGCGTCCAAGTCTCCTCCTTCAACGTCAGCCTGGTAGAAAGGGACCGGAAGTGGACCCAACGTGGGATTGCGCTCTTGCCGACTGAACAACAAGCGGACAGGAAGTGGATGAGCAGTTGAAGGCGGCGGCATTTCTCCATCTCCCCTCCGGGGGGAGACGCCCTCGCCGCCTCCTGTGATGTCAGAGCCCGGCCGCGTTTGTGTGTACTGCAAAAAAAATAATAATAATAATTTTCCACGCAGCCTCAAATCCCAACATTGAAAATGCAAAGTGCAGCCGTTTGTCGTTGAAGTTGACTCAACTTCCGCACCGGCAAAGCGAGGGACGGCGAGTGGCCATCCTGGACAGGAAGTGAGTTTTAGAAAGCAGGAAGTGGAATTGAATTGAAGTGGAGCCTCGGTCTGGAAGAAAAAAAAAGGCACGCCGAGATCTGAAATCAAGCGCATTTGGAACCTTTTTTGGGGGGGGGGGGGGGAGAAGAGCGGCACTCAACTGCCACTGAAGGTTTCGCAACAGCTCGCCATCGGAGGCCTTCTCGCTGTTTGCGCCGATTTGGAAAAGCGGCAGAATGGGGCGGATGAAACCCAAGGCCCGTCGTTTGAAACGCCGCTCGTCAAATATTTCCACGCTTCGACCACGTTCCTTACCGTCGATTTGTTGGGGAGTGACGTCGTGTCACGTGGGCAGCTTTGAAGACGATAAACGGCCCGTTTCACACCTGACTTGAAGAAGCCAACTTTTTTTTCCGTCGGCAAATGCCGCGCTCAAAAGCCTACAGGGGTCTCAAGTTGTTGGAGTTGGCCTTTCTACCGCTGTCCCCCCAAAATTAAACAACCACAAAAGACAAGGCGGAAGTGTTCCCCACGCCCCCTTTGGCGCGAGCCAAAGAGGGACGAAAAAAGGATGACGGCGCTCTCTTGTGGCTGTAGCGAGAACTACAGCAGCGGCTCCGAATATGAGGCCTGAGAGCTGAACAAATGAACTTCGCATGTCGTCGTGATTGTTCTGATTTCGAGGTGCCACAACTCACGAGTTGATGGCCCACTAATCGAACGTCAGATTCAGCTTCTTCTCCATTCATGACCTTATCCCATTTCAAATTGTGGCCAAAGTCTTTCAAGTTGTCCACGCGAGATGTTTTTCTCAATTCTGCGGGGCGGACTGATTGTTTTTCCTTTTTGGGAAACGAGACCTTTGAAAACAAGCCCCCTTTTTTTTTTCTTGAGGGATCAAGACAGCGGCGGGATTCATCGTGGCCGGCGTGCCCTCCAGGTGAAACTAAAACCACGCCCACTTTTCCAAGCGAAAGCACGCAAATTCAAACTGGAGTCGGACTCATCACCGATGGAACCGATTATTCGTTTCAGCCTTGATGCTTCACTTTTTGCTTGTGACGTTTGTCAAGTGAGTGGTCGAGGGCACTTTGGGCTCCTGGCGTCCGAAACGTCGACGCCGTCGCTGCCCTTCGGCTGCCGCCGCCACTTTATGGGGCGAGAATCGGCTCGGGTGGCCCTGGTGTGTGCGCTGTTGGGGCCTGCGCCACCCCACCGCTTCACTGTGGGGGTCTCATGGCCGTTTGATCCACTGCGGTGGCATTTTTACCCCGGACGTACGCAAAAAGTTCCATTTTGGACTGGTGGGCCCGCCCGGGGTGTTTCCGAAAGTCTTGAGGATCATCAAGATGCCCTTTGGCAAATGTGTGCTTTTGTCGGTGGCTTTTGCCTCCCGCGCGGGCCATTTTGGGCCTTACCGAGGCCAGCGAGATCAGCGGGTCTTCGGGGCTTGGTCCCGGATGAGCCGTCATCGTCGCCGCCGCACTCCCGCAGTCATTGTAGCTGCTCGACTGCTCCCGGGAACCTCCGGCCCCCATTTTCTGCATTTGCGGCTCTGACAGCAGGTGGAACCTTTTCCGGACGGATCGACGGCAAACACTTTTTTGTCCTTCTTTTGTCGGGATGGAGGCGCGATGCTTTTGTCGCCGACTTCACTTTGTCTGACAAATTCTTTTTCTATTTATGCGATTTGTCAACAACTGTGCTGCCGGGGTGTCGCGGGTCAAACTGAACTCGGCTTTCCCAGAACCGCCGTTAGTCACAGTTGCTTGGTGGGGGTTGTGGGGGCAATGACTTTTTCACACGGGGACACCGAACTCCTTTGGGATTTCTTTTTATTTTTTGCCTCGATCACTAAAATTGGCATTTTGTATGTCCTTGGCTCATCTCTGTCTGATATTAACATACGCAAAGAGCGCAGCCGTCAGGAAAAGGAGGAAGGAATCATCTCCAAGGGGTTCCTTCGGCACCGGTGTTGTCATGATTCGGTTTGGGACCACCAGGTGGCACTGTGGGGCTCTCCCTGCAGCCGCACACCTGTTGGTCGTTATGTCATTAGTGCTTGAAAAGGAAAAAGGGCTCCAAGCCGACCACTCGCTTGGGTCATTGTTGCCGTTTGCCGCTGTCAAGTTTGTTCTGGTCACATTTCTGTTGTTGAAAGTTTTTTGCTTCAGTCATGGTTTTGTTTGATACTTTGGATTTGTTTTGTTTTCAGGACTTTGTTTGTTTAGGATTTAGTTTTCTCTGTTTGAATCCAATCTGTCAAGTACACCCTGCTCCTCTCTCCCGCCTGCTTTTTGGGGTCCACCACCACCACCACCTCGCAACGTGACAGTGCGAGGCAAACGACGGCGTTTCAAAAAGCGAGGCAAAGTCGCGAGCGGCCAAAAAGGGCTCCGGAGCCTCGCTGGAAAAGGTTTGTCTCAGGTACGACCCTCCGATGATTAGAAACGGGCCTTTTGGACCCTCCCGGCACGTGTGACATTTGGCTCGGAGTCGACGCTGAGCTCAAAGCGGCCGTTGGACGGCAACGGCAAAGTTCCGGATCCCGAGAGCGGCGCTTCCGACGGAGCGCCGGACGCGGAGCGCGAGTCCGTCGGACAACCGCCGGCACTCGAGCGCAAGGAGAGGAGGAAAGCGCAAGAACGGTCAAAGGCAAAGACCGAAGACCGAAGACCGGTCGGAAAGACGCGCTACAGGGCGCACAATCTCTCCAATGTGACTCGGACTGACGAGATGAGCCGCACAAAGGCGGCCTCAGTGGACCCGCGGCGGGGGTTGATGGAAGGAATGACAAACGCGCCTCTCCGGGAGGGGCGGGGGTCGGCGGGGAGGAGCTACAGCCCCAACGGGAGCCGCCGGGACCGGCGCCGCCAGCCCCGCCGGACGCCGCGCCGCGCAAAGGTGAAACGCGCTCGCTCGTCACAGGAAGGTACGTTGACCTTTGCCTTCCGGGTGACGGCGCCGACCGACTGACCGGCGTCGTCCTTTCTTTTCAAAAGGCCGAGCCCGTCCAACCGTTGCGCGGCTTCCTCTGCCGCCAATCCGACCTCGAACTATCGTCGGGCGGGCGATTGTTGTCCACGGCTCCTTCCGTGGGCTCTTCTGTCACCTTCTCCTCGCTGATCAAAAGCCTACCGGATCACCGCAGCGTTTCGATGAGTGCGACTGCTTGCTTCTCCGGGCCGCAGTTATGAGGGGGGAGTGGGGGGGCACTTTATTTTTCCGTGCCCCGTCCCCTTCTGTTGAGTGACGTCGGTCAGGTGAGGGGGGCGGCTCCCCTTCACGCCGGGAGAAGCTTTGAGGATCAGTGAGTTTGCTCTCGGCTTTTCTTTCTCGGTTCCGAAAAGCGGGCGGGTCGACTTTGATCGCGCGAGCGCCACTTTGCGACGCCCCTCTTGGAGGCCGAGGAAGGTGCGCGAGTTCCGTTTCGGAAGGTGCGAGCGGCCGCTTGACCGGGCTGCGGCGGGAGCTTGAAATCAGCACGGCGACGCACGATGCTCACTTGAACGCAAGCCGTCATCCTAACCCCTAACCCATGCGCCCTTTGGCCCTGCCACATTCTCGCGCGCGCCCACACACGCGCGCGCGCGCGCGCGGACGCGAACAGAGCGTCACGCTCTCCTCTCGCCTTTTTCAATGCGTCTTTTGTCCTTTCACGTCCAACAAGACAAAGTAGGCCTGTGCATGCGCGCGCACCAAAAACAAATCCACACAGAGAGAGAGAGAGAGAGAGAGAGACACGCAGTCCCACGCAAAAAGCGATTCCCAAACACACACATGCACGAGGATGCAGAAATAGCGGACATCAAAAATGAGAGACACACACGCACGCACGGGAGTCGGCCGGAATGGACTCCGGCGCACGCGCGGCCACGTGGAGGAGAAGCGCAGTCGAAAACCGCTCCGCTTCCCAGCAGGCAGCAGCGAAAGCCGTGACGTCGGTGAGAGCAGGCTCCTCCCCTCCGATGATAAGCCACTCCCACACGGTGCCGCTGCTGAGCCCGGCGGCGGCGGCGGGCGGCGACGGCGACGAAGAGCAGCGGCGACGGCGCCGCGTCCTCTCCAAGGACGGCCGCAGCAACGTGATGATGGCGCACGTGAGCGGGCGGCGGGCGCTCTACCTGCGCGACCTCTGGACCACCTTCCTGGACATGCGCTGGCGCTACAAGTTCTTCTTGTTCTGCGCCACCTTCGCCGGCACCTGGTTTCTCTTCGGCCTGCTGTGGTACCTGCTGGCCGCCACGCACGGCGACTTGGCAGGTGAGTGGGCGTGGGTTTAACATTCATCAAAAAAAGAATCGCACCCCCGAAAATGTTTCGTCCATGTTTTTTGGGGGGGACGGGTTGCGTGTCTTTGGGCGGGTGAGGGAGAGAGTCGGGCACCTGAGGCGGGCGTTTGGCTTTTGTCGCCCGCAGACTTGACCGCGGCCTCCGAGCACACGCCGTGCGTGACGGAGGTGCGGACGCTGACGGGCGCCTTCCTCTTCTCGCTGGAGTCGCAGACCACCATCGGGTACGGCTCCCGCGTCATCACCGAGGAGTGTCCCGCCGCCATCGTGCTGCTCATCTTCCAGCTGGTGGTCACCATGGTGATGGAGATCTTCATCACCGGCACCTTCCTGGCCAAGGTGAGCCACGAGCGCCCCTCCGCCGCCCCGGCTCCGACGTCTCACCCGCCCGCCCGCCGCGCCCACAGGTGGCCCGGCCCAAGAAGCGCGGCGAGACGGTCAAGTTCAGCCGGCACGCCGTGGTGTCCACGCAGGAGGGGCGGCCGTGCCTGATGGTGCGCGTGGCCAACATGCGCAAGAGCCTGCTGCTGGGCTGTCAGGTACGGCCCAGCTTTCTTCGAAGCGTAATCGCGTTCCAACCGAAAAGTAAGTGGAGGATGTCAAACGGCCGACTTCACGGTTTTACGAGCCCGGCCGAAAAACATCTCTCCGCCGCGAGACGGCAAAATCCTCATCCTCATCGTCCTCCATATCGTGATGTTGGCCTGAAGGTTTTGGTGATAGTTTCTTCTTTTGGTCAGTCTGCATGTTGTTTTGCTAAAAGATTGAGCAGCCTCGAGGGGTGCGCTCACTCCACCCCCCCGCCGATGGTGACGGTTGAACCCACGCGCCCTTTTGGGGCGCTCCCGCCAAGCGGCCATGTTGGAGGACGGAGCCCGATGCCGGCGACGTTTCGCTTGCCCGTGACATCATCGTGACGAAATTGCAGTCGCGCGCTACCGCGAGACGGCGCGAAGCTCGGAAGAGTGACGGCAAAATGACCTTTTTGGCGTTTTCTTGTCGACTCTGACGCGGCGTTTGGTCGGGCGGGTGCCGAATGGGCGCTCAGGTGACGGGGAAGCTGCTGCAGACGTGGCCGAGCGAGGAGGGCGCGGCGCTTCGCCTGGACCAGCGCAACGTTTCCTTCCGGGTGGACACGTCCAGCGACAGCCCCTTCCTCATCATCCCCTTGACCTTCTACCACGTCATCGACGACGGCAGCCCCCTGCGAGCCTGGGCCGCCCAAGGTCAGAAGTGCACGCGCACGTACCGCACCCGCTTCGAGAGCCCGAGTCCTCAGCCCCCCCCCGCATCTTCCAGGTGGCGACCAAGCGGCGGACTTTGAGCTGCTGGTCATCCTGAGCGCCACGGTGGAGCCCACGTCGGCCACCTGCCAGGTGCGCACCTCCTACCTGCCCGACGAGATCCTGTGGGGCTACGAATTCCCGCCGGTCATGTCGCTGTCCACCTCGGGGGCCTACGTGGCCAACTTCGCCTTCTTCGACAAGGTGGCCAAAGCCAAAAGGCAGCCGGCGGACGCCGAGAAGACGCCGAGACCCGAGCGGCGCCGAGACGGCGGCGCGCCGAGCCTGCGCATCAGCAACGTTTGACCCGCGGACGGGAAGTTGCCTCGCGCTCTCCCGCCAACCGACGTGTGGCTTCGGTCGCTTGAGGAAATGCCTCCTTGCGGAGTTGTCGTCTTGTTTTCTTTCAGTTTGAGCCTTCACCTTTCATGGCGCCTCAAAACACAATAAAAGTCCAAATGCCCTTTTTGAGAGGCGCGCTTGACGGCAAATTCGAGGCGTCACGTGTGCGCCGTCTGTGGAGCAAGCTAGCTAGCTAGCTAGCCGTGCGCAGCCGGCTCGCGGGCCAGACGGGATCCATCCGCGTATCTCTGTCCTGTAAATGTCCCTCTTTGGATCTGGCGGTCGGCGTCTCATCTCGGCAGCCGGCCGCGTCCGTCGGGACGTTCGTCCGGAGCTCCCCGTCTGTCGGTGCGTTCATCCGTCCGCGGATCCGACGATCGGCGCGATCGCCCTTCCTTCCGAGCCGCCCGTGGAGCCACGTGCCAAACGCGGGGCTGACGCCTGCCGATCTTCAGTCTCGGACTAAAAACCCAAAGCCGGATGGAAGTTTTGCGAGTTTGACCGGAAGGAATGACGACGCGCTCCCGTCATCTCCGTCGTTTCGGGTCCGCAGGTCACTTCCTCTTTTGCGGCTGTTTTTTTTTTTTCCCCTCCCCCCTTTCTTCCTCTTCGCCATCATTTCGAGCGCGTTTGACGCAATGCAACTCAGGCTTTCAGTTTTGCGGCGAGGCGACCCAACCTGCAACCAGTAGATGCCTCGCAACAAAAACAGCACCGGAAATGGAACCACAGAGTCCTGCACACATCCTGCGGCGTTCTCTCTTCTTGAACCGCGTCGAGTTTTGCCCGCGCAAACCGCCGCCTGCGCCTGGACGGCCGACGCCGAAAGCATCCGCTTCTCCGTCATCTGCCGCAAGTAGGCCGCGAGGAGAAACTCTCACGCGAGCTTTGCGACGCGAGCGGATGTGAGCCGACGCATTGGGGAAACGGCCCCTCGTCTCGCTCGCCGCCTCGATGTTCCGCCCTGGTCTGAATCATACTGACGGGCGGCCGAGGAGAGAGGCTCCGCCCCTTTCAGTCTTCCCGGTCCGGGGGACGCGCGGACTCGTCGCAGAGTCAGCCCAAGTTGAGACGGCGCCATGGTTGCCGGCGGCCTGCGCGACTTCCTGCGCTACGGCGGCGCGTGGCTCCTGCTGGCCAGCCTCCGCGGTACGTTTTGGGGGGGGGACGCCTTCTGGGAAGTTGATGCTTTGCGCTCGCGTCGTACAGAGTGGCGTCGAGTTCAAAAGAAAAGAAAAGCGACGCGGCGCGGCGTCTTCATCCCCGTTTGCTGATGTCAGCTCGCCCGGACGGTCGCGCTTCCTCTTTGCTTCCAGAGCTCCGCTGTTCCTCTTTGCAGGCGTGATGAGACGCGCGAGAGCTCTCGCGGATGTAACTTAGTCACACGTGCACGTCTTGCAGTTTCTCGCGAGACAGACGCGTCGTCGGCTTTCTGACTCAAGCTCCGCACACCGAGCGGCGCGGCTCAATGCACCTGAAGGAGAGGTGGCAGGTCGGGCCGACGGAAGGTCGGGCCGAAAAAAAAAAAAATCCAGCCCGACCCGGCGCGCGGGTATTGAAGCCCGAGCCGGCCCGAGCCCGACCAATGAACTTGATTTGCAGGCCCGAGCCCGAAGCAAACCCCAAATTTGATTGGGGAGGAGGAGGAGGGCTGATTTCTGGTAACAAATTAACGCCTGTCGTTCGGAACGAAATCGAGACGGTATCAACATTTCCATCTTTGATATTTCTGGTTCTGCAGAGGGCACGTCAACCGACAATTTGCCATCATTGACGGATTTTGTTCAGACTTAACGGGAAAAATTGAAGGCCGTCCGTCATTTTGACGGGTTGAAAATTGGGCCGAAATTCGGCTCGGGCTTCAGATCTTCCCTCTAACCCCAAGTGGGGCGCGCCGAAAAAAAAAAGGAACGATGGCGACTCTAGCATCGACCGCCGCAATGGAATAACCGCAACCGGCATCGGCTTTTGAGGCTCTGCGTACACGATGCCGTTCCGTCGCGCGACCCCCAAAAAGCCTCGTGCGCCATTGCCGAGGGAGAAGCCGAAAGCGGGAAGCGGCCTCGGGCCTCTCCTGCAAACTCGCGGCGTCGCTCGGAAACCCGACTTGGCGACCTTGACGAGACTTTCCTCGGCACGGCGCTAGGACCGATGGCGACTCTAGCATCGACCGCCGCAACGGAATAACCGCAATGGCTTTCGAGGCTCTGCGTACACGATGCCGTTTCGTCGCGCAACCCCCAAAAAGCCTCGCGCGCCATTGCCGAGGGAGAAGCCGAAAGCGGGAAGCGGCCGCGGGCCTCTCCTGCAAACTCGCGGCGTCGCCGAGCGCGCCCGAGTTGGCCGGGACGCCCGCGTGCGTCCGACGTCGCTCGCAAACCCGACTCGGCGACCTTGACGAGACTTTCCTCGGCACGGCGCTCGTCGTTGCCCTTTCCAGAAGTGCCGGGATGCCAACGGGTCCTCGATCGGCGAGCCGGCGACGCGGTGGAGCTGCCGTCGTGCTTGCCGGGCCGAGACGTCACTTTCGCGCGCTGGCTCTACGGAGGCAGGACGGTGGCGTCCGCCGACGACGAAGACGGCGCTCGGGGGTCGGGCCGCTTCGCCGGCAGGCTGCGACTCGACCTCCGGAACTTCAGCCTGACGCTGGGCTCCGTCACCCCGGGGGACTCGGGCGTCTACAGCTTCGTGTCGGCCGTCAACGACAGCCAGCGGGAGACGGTGGAAGTCACGCTGCGAGTTCACGGTAACGCCGAGCGCGCCCGCGACCCACTCGGTGGCGCGCCAGACGAGGAAGGGGCGAGCGCAACGTTGCGCGAGCGCGGACGACTCACTTCGGTTCGCGGAGGTGCCGCGACGCCCGATTTGATCGGACGACGCCGGCTCGTCAAACGACGAGCCGGCGTCGGCTTCCGAGGCTGCGCGCTCACGCTGTTGCGCTTTTGCACGCAACGAGATGCGGCGGAGAGCAAAACCGGGTTCCAACGTCACGCTGTGTCCCCCGTAGAGGCCATCGTGGCGGAGCCCGTGGTGACCGTCAACGCCAGCCGGCGCGCCGGCAACCGCTCCTGCAGCGTCCTGCTCCGCTGCAGCGCCTCGGCCGGCGGCGGGCCGGTGGAGTACGAGTGGCGCGTGGGCAACCGAAGCCTGAGCGGCGCGTGGCGTCGACTCAGCGTGTCGCCGCGGGGCGCCGCCGCCGAGGTCACGTGCACCGTCTTCAACGCCGTGAGCGCCAAGTCCGTCTCCGCCTCCGTGTCCTGCGCCAACGACACCGCCAACGGCGCGTCGGCGAGAGGTGACCGAGCCGACCGGTGTCTTTCCGTCCCCCCAGCGTCATTCACGGAGATGATGTCATCGTTTTAGAGCCGTCGAGCTTTGCGGTCGGCGCGGCGGCGGGAACTTTCGGTCTCCTCGTCATGGCTGCCGGCATCTTCGCGGCCTTCTTCCGCCGCAGAGCAAGTGAGACGTGCTTCCCTGTCACTTGTGACAAGCCCAAAACAACTCACGCCACTAAATTCCTCTCCTGTCAATTTTTTTTTTTGACATTTGCATATTTGAACTGAGGAATGAGAGGAAGAAATGTCATCTATGCTGCGTGTCATACGTAAGCATATTTGACAATAAAGATGACCTTGACCTTGACTCTTTCACACTCACAAACTTGGACAAAAAGGACATTTTGTCATTTTGGGTGAAGAACAGAATTGGTGTGTGTGAGAGGGATTTTTAGTGCGAGTGAGAAGATTTGGGCATTCTGATGAGTTTTGTTTGTTTTCGTAATCGAGTTTTTGGTGAAGGACCAAAACTTTTATGTGAGTGAGAGACGCTTTTTGCCAAGTAGAAGGTTGTTGTTTTTGTTTTTTACTGCAGGAGAGGGTTTTTGGTGTATGTGATGGGGTTTTTTTTCAAAAAAATTTTCATGCGAAAAGTGTTTTTGAGGGTTTTGTGTCACAGGTGCGATTTTGCCGTGTGAGATTTTTGGGTGGTGTGAGACTGTGTGTGAAAGGTTTTTGGAGGTGCGGGCGCGCGTTTGAGTGTTGGTGGCGCGTGAGAGGTCAACGTGGTGGGCGGCTTTTCATTTGCTTCCCTTCCTGTTTGCGACGACCCAGGCAGGACGCGCGAGGAGGCGACGCTCTACGCGGACATTTGCGAGGTGACGGCGGCCGACGTGAGCGCGCGCGCCGCCGAGCCGCGCTCGCCGCCGGCCCCGGTGCAGACGCTCTACGACGTGATCCAGCTGGGCCGCGCGGCCGCGGAAGGCCACGCCCCTTAAGGTGCCATCTCGCGGTGCCATCTCGCGGCCGCCGTTGGAGCAGCACCGCCAAGAAACGACAACGAGACGACGTTTCCTCCCGGCCCGCAACTGCCCCCCCCCCAAAAAAAAGGATATCATCCTAAAAATGACATTTGACAACGTGTACTTCTCTTTCTTTTTTTTGTTTGTCCGCAGCCAAACAGCAATACCTGGGTTCAAAGGTGAGGGCTTGACGGCAGTCGACCCGCTGGATGCTCACCATTGCGCACTTGCCCATTCGCATATTGGCCCATTTTGGGGGGGCTGCCCCCTCCCCGCCCCCCGCCCATATTTTGTGTAAAACAAATGATTGATGTTTTACAGATAATAAATTTGTTGTCATAAGTTTATTTGACCAAGCATTTCAATGTGCATCAAGCGGACGTGGACGTTTGTTCCTCGTGGGCCGACCCGGACCCCGAAGCCTTGCGAGCGAATCGCGGCGATCGGCCGTTTTCAACAGCGAAGCCATTGCGTCCAATCATGCCGTCCACAACTACGAGACAATGAAGCCGTGTTCAAGTTTGCCCGTGCACGTTGCGTCCAATCATGCCGTCCACAACTACGAGACAACCGTGCGGCTGTTCCTCCTACGTAATCACGGCTACGTTCTGTCTCATGATACCGGAGGTGTCCAAACGGCGGCCCGGGGGTCGTTTGTGGCCCACCATCCATTTTTTCATCGGCCCGCAATTGCGCCCCCCCCCCCAAAAAAGGATATCATACTAAAAATGACATTTGACAACGTGTACTTGTCTTTCTTTTTTTTTTGTTTGTCCGCAGTCAAACAGCAACACCTGGGTTCAAAGGTGAGGGGGTAAAAGAAAGAACCCCCTCGTGCCCAAAAAAAAAAAATACAGATGGCTGAAAGGTCTCCTCAAGTTCACCTCCCCCCCCCACTGATCTCCAAGACAGGACAGCCATTGTCACGATGGGGCGCCGTGTGAACAGTTGGGATTTGAACTCAGTCCATTTTGGAAGCAGGCTGTCGGACGCGGCAAATGCGGTGGTGGGAAAGGTGAAGCGCTGCCGATACATTCCCGATGCAACGTTGTCCAACAAGGACAAAAGTCATCCGACATCTATCCGTCGTCTTCTTTTTTTACTCCCCTCCCATCTTCTTGATCCGCTGAGAAAACAGCAAGCGCATTCATAATTGGCGCATTGTAAATCAATCGTGCTTTCCAGGTGCGTAAAATGGGCGCGAGTACAGGGCAGATGGCTTTCTCATGGTACGGATGTCAGTAAAACGCACGGAAAAGCCTGAAAGCGAAAGGTTTACCTTGTCGGTGGCTGAGTGGAGGATGACGGTGGCGTCGGGCGGCCGCGATGTCGGGGCTTCCTTTTCCCACACCTGTTACGATGAGATTGCCGACGTCAGGGCTGGGCACCCGCATTTCGTTGGATGTCATCCAACGACAATAAAGGCCACATTCTGATTGTGATTCTGGACAAAGAACGCGACAACTGTGCGCCGTTCCCAAAACGAGACGTGTACACGGCTCACTCCGGGAAAAAGCACAGCCGCAAATCCAAACGGGTCGATGCGACGCGGTCCTTCCGAGCTAGCGGCGCGCTTGACGACAGATGCTCCGTTCTCCTCGCGTGTGAAGGGACTCGCTCCCCTGCCACCGTCGGTCCATACGACAGCAAAGTCGCCCCGGCGTTTGAGAGGCGTGTACAAACGGGAGTTGGAGTGGACGGGACCCTTATATCCGGGCCCCTTTGGTTGGAGGTATAATCATCCCATCGTTTGCTGCACCGCGATTCCCGCCGCGATATTGTGGATTTCACCGGTAATCGGCGGCTCACGTTACACCCGACGCTAACTGCGAGCCGCACGCGTTGGCGCTCACCTGTCAAGCCCGCGAGCGTGACGCTCACCAGAAGTCCGCCGCTAACAATTCCCGCCAAGACGAAAAGGCTGTGCCGGCGTCGAGGCCGCGGCTCCGTCGCCGTCACGCCTGGCACACAAGAGGCAGCGGCGCTCGCTCAAGACAGGAAGCCGTCGGCCGTATCGGTCGGGGGAGCCTTACACGCGACGCGGATGCTGTCCGAGACGTTCTCCGGTTTGCGGCTGGAGGTACACGTGAAGTGGGCGGTGTCGCGGGAGGCGAGGGACGCCAGAAGAACTCCGCCCTTGCCGCTGGGGTCGGCCATGGCGTAGGCAGTTGGAAGCGGGGGTTCGAGCGTCCAAGAGAGGTTGGCGTCCAAATCCGGAGACAAACAGTCGAGCCCCACCCAGCAGCCGCCGTCCAAATGCACGGAAAAGAGCGTCCGTATGCTCGGTATCTGGAGGTGTCCTGACAAGGGACAACATACCGCCGTGAGCTAGCTGCGAGGTACGCTAACGATTTGGTGCGTTCGTTAGCTGCGTGCTAACTCGTGGAAGCTTATATCAAGGAACATTTTATGTTTGAGCATCATATTCTTTCACGTCAATTACATTCTGTTGTTGAATAATTGCTTCGACATGTTTTTATGTCGAGAGCTTCTGATTGGCTGTTGAAGGAAGGGAAAGCAGAAAGTGATTGAGTTGCCGAGAAGAGCGACTTCTCCGTCGTCCTGCGGGGCAGACGTCCTTTCAACAAAGCTCCTTTTGCCCTTTCGTAAAGTAGAACCATCCATTCGAAAACCACGAACCCCTCAACTTACAGTAGCAAGATGCTAAATGGCTCACGAACTAGCTGACCGGCTCGGTATGACGCACACGAATAGAATTGCGAATTAGCTGTAGGCTAGCTAGCTCAGCGCACTCGTAAGAACGACGTGGCGGATGTTCGCTCATCGCTCGGCCACTTACTCCTCACCACCAGCGTCACCACTCTTTCCACGCTGCGCTTCTCCGTGTCCACGAGCTCCACGCTGAAGTCCACGGCGTCCCGCCGGCTCACGTTGCGGATCGTCAGGTCGCCTGATGGTCATCGCAGATACGGCAGGCAAACCACCCTCATCATGCTTTCGCATTTGTCATTTGAAGTTTCTTTCATTGCTTTTGAAATTCAGTTACTTTTAGTTTTGAGAACAACTTTTTTAGTACAGTTGTACACACACACACACAGACACAGTCAGTATTTTCAAGGCTGCCGGCGCTGACCCGATGAAGCGTTGAGAGTGAGTCGTCCTCTGAAGAGGTAGAAGCGCTCCGTGTTTATCTTGCCGCCATGAAAGGTGGCGATCCAAGTCTGGTTGGAAAACACGTACCACTTGATGGAGGCCAGCTCCCGGGACGGGTCGCCGCCGGAAGACAACGTGACCGCCTCACCCTGGTAGGCCACCTGCTGTGAAGGAGGAAGCACTGCAAGCACATTTGCTCGCGCAGCGTCACATAACGTGACGTAACGCTGCGTGGATGTGACATTCGCTCGCATAACGTAAGAGAGGCTGCACTCACCGCTGGCGGCCGCCTCAAACCAGGTCCCGAGCAAAACCAACAGGGCAGCCGCGGAGAGCTCTGTCGGGATGACGACGCCGATTTGTTTCTTTTTCTGTCACGTTTTTTGTTTTCGGTCGCTTCGCGCAAAATGTAGCGTGTCACACTGAGTCAACTCACACCGCCTAGCATAGCGTCGCAGCGCAACAACATTTGGTCACACAGCCACCGAGCATCAGAGTCGGTTTCATCACATCTCGTTTGGTCACGTAGCAACACACGGCGCCACATAAGCGTTATGCAGCATAGTGACATTTCGTGTTTGGACACATCGCACCAGCGAATTCCCTCTTTGGTGACGTAGCCTCCTATTTGATGGCCCAGGGCCACGGAGCATCACATTCGGTCACATTCACACAAGCGAAATTTCACATTTGGTCGCAGCGCGCCACACAGCTTCATCTTTGGTCTCATCACAGACGTCGCCTTCAAACCGTGTCCTCTTTCTTCCTCTTTTCCGCATTTCACTCTGAATAACAGCCAGAGCCACTTCATGGAGCACGTCGGCGACTTTCCCCTCATGAGATCGGTCAAGGGGGGCGTCTGATAGTCTAGCTTTAAATATGCAAATCAGTGGACATCAATTGTTGTCTCAGTGCGACAACAAAAAAAAAAGCTTCCCCATTCGTCCACCGAGTTTGACGCCGTGTCACACGAGGTCACACGAGGTCACACGAGGTCACAGAACACCACAAAGCTTCACGTTTGGCCACGAGACGGCGCGGAGCATCACCTCGCGTTTGGTCCTCCTTACCTCTGACGACCACCGCTGGGGGCATGATGGCGGAGGAACGCCGCGACGACGTGCTCCGGGGCTCTTTTCACTTCCTGCTCGATGCGCATGATAGTCACTCGCCATTTCAGGAAGTGACAAATGGCTGACATGACACACATTTTGGGGGAGGAATGATTCCCAGGAAAGGCGGGCTACGCTCCGCTGCTAAAAAGCCTTGAGAACGAGAACGCCACAGCCGATCTTACGAGCGGCGTCAAACATACAACTCGCGGGCCCCCCGATGAGTTTGATCAGGCCCGCAGGATCATTTAAAAATGAAAAAAGGCATAAAAAGCACAGAATAAATATTTTGAATAAAAGGCAATTCATGGATTATCCGCTAGGGGGAACACTGTTTTCTCCTTCGTTTGTAAAGTGTAGGCAGGGATTAAAATGTGATGTGAGCCGATAAACGGCCACTGTCCAGAGACTCCCAGAGACGCTGAGCGTCCGGTGGGCGGGACAAAACCGGCATTTATCCAATGACTCGTCTCGTTTCAATGCATTGGGACAACTTACTGTGAACTCTCTCGACGCTCAGTGTCCACAGTTTCAAGCACAGTGAAGCTGTGGGAATGAATGAGAAGAGAGTCGCGTCGTAACCGGTAATAAGAAGCCGATTCGAAACAAAAGTTGAGCGCGTTGTCGCGCATATTTAGTCAACGACACGTCCACACGATTGTATGGACACATATATTTGACCACTTATTTTTTTGACATTTTAGGGGAAGCTGAGCTTCCCTTGCAGCGTTAGAGCAATCGCCTCTGGAGTTGACGTACTGGTGAGGACAAGGAGCGCATTCGACTACTATCTACTACTAAAAACACACAAGCAATTTACCGTCCCAGTTCCAATGAGGCCATCTTCCCATTCGTCATTCGTGCGTTCACGATAAACAAGCATATCGTCGCTGCCCTGTGGAAAATACACGGGACCATTTTGGGCATTTCGAAAATGTTTGGCGATGTTGCGGCGTGCGGGCTCAAATGGCTTCCTATCAAGCAGTCGCTAAAAAAGAACTTGCATTTGTGTGATTTTAATGTCGCAGACACAAGAAACATGACAACTTACAAGAAGTAGAATGACTTTGTGCAACACCTGGAAAAAGACAACACTACGCTCGAGCGCCCGCATGCGGCCTTGGAGGTAGGAACAGCGATCGCTTGCGAGCATTTGCCACACTCTGTGTACGTTTCGACTTTGCTAGTGTCCGTCCGCCAGGGAGGGAAATGCGGCGGCCTAGTTTTTCTTTGCCATTCCACAACACAACGTGCCAACAAAAAGATTTTTTTTCTTTTTGCGGGGGAAGGGGGGGGGGGTCCACGTGGTGATGACCAGCAGCAGCTGGAAAGAAGAGCATCGCTTAATTAGCAGCGCTCACTTCCCGCTATGTTTGGTCGGTAGTGGGCGTGGCCTAAGTCTCAAACTTTTGAGTCCTTCTCGCGCGAAATGCTGACGCCTTGGAAACTGGACCGTCACGTGTACCCCAGAATGCCACAGGAATGGGAGAAAAGTGGCGGACTTAAAAAAAAAAAAAAAAGTGGTCATCTCGTGAGTGTAAATGCATTTTTTTTCAGACAAAATCCAAGTGTCATGAGATCAGAGTCCAGATTGAGACCAGGAATCATAAAATGAAACTTCATCTGCCATCTCACTTCTGAAAAAGACGCCCCGCCCCCTCTTGGTAGGGAGGAGCACGGAAGCGACTTGTCGCCATACCAGGGGAAGAAAAAAAAAAAAGTGTATGGTGTGATCAATGTCACGCAATAACGCGATCGGTTTGATTTTGAAATCAAGAAATAAATGACTTGCTTCTCCAAAAGTATTTCGCATTGTTGCTCATCCGCTTACTTTGTTTTGAAAGACATCAAAACGATTCCAGAATCAAACTTGGCATGTTTGAAGGTGCTCATGTCAAATTGAGCACGCCGTTGCATTTCTTTGTTTGTCTTTTCCTGCCGCGGCAGCAATTTGCTTCTGTCAGGAGGAATGAAGGCTTTCACATGTGGATTTCACGTCCTTGTATGTCAAGTAGGTATGCACTTTTTTTAACGACACCGACTTGTTGCCCGCTGACCGATGGGAGTCCGGAGAACCACCGGCCTAAGACATGCTAAACACAGTCAATCGGTTCATGGTGGGAAGAAAAGAAAAAGGGGGTTGGCGGGGAGGGGGGGTGCGTTGAGGCTAAAGTGCTGGGTGATTGGAGGTCGCCCTTGGGGTGCTTCCAGTGGCTCTCACAGTCCAGTGGTTTGAATCCTGGGCTGGGCCGGACTTGCTTCCTTGCCTGTGAATGGATCAGTAAAAAAGAAAACTTTTTTTTTTTTTTTTTGAAGTACGTTTGGGAGGAAGGGCGGATGTGAAAAGCCGGCGGGGTGTTTGGGCGCTCACCGTCCGCCCAGCCGCGGTCTTCCTCCTCTCGAGGGGCCGACGGCTCTCGCAGCGACGTCAGCAGTTTGCGATGCTCGCCCTCCATGTCCTGCAAAGGGAGGACGCCGCGTCACTCGCTCGACACGGACCCCAAGAAGCGACAGTTGTCAGTTTTCATCCGTTAATTTGCGCTGCAGTCGTATTGGTCGTATTTGAGTCATTTGGGGGGCCTCCTGTGGCTTTTCCTCTCATGAACAGAGAGCTTCGGTCCAGTCGCGCAAGTTGACGGGGGCTGTTCAGTCTAAGGCGACTTTGTTTTGCCACAGCAATATCTGACAAACCGACCTTGAGCTGACGCAGCTTGCTCGTCAGGTCCTCGATGGTGCGGAAGACCCCCTCCACATTGTTGACCACGCGCCACGGCGCCTCCTCTTCCCGGCGCTCCGACGGCTCCCCCTCCTGCCCGAGATCCGTCACTTCGTGGGTCGGGTCGGTGGCGCTCTCGCCCGGCGTCACCAAGCGGAAGACGTTTCCTATCCGCCACAGAAAGCCACCAATCAGCTTGGCCCATTGGCATCGGCGCGCGCGGCGGCCCAGCTCCATGACCGAGAGTCCGAAGAAAAAAAATGGCAGGTAGCGGCTTACCTTGCGGTGGGACCTGAGCGCCGCCGCGCGGCGCCGCCTCCCTCGGATGGCGCGGGCTTTCATCGGGCGAGTCTTGCAAGGCGCGGCTACGGACGTCCTCGCGTGCGACGGCGAGGAGGAGTCCACGCAGCGTTTCCACTGGGGGGAAAGAAAAAGCCGGCGTGACCCAAGTGAGTCGGGGGTCTCTGACCCGATGCGCAAAAATCCCATTTCCTGCTTGTCTCATTCATTTGCATCCTTGACCACCAAGTGAGAGAGAGAGTCCACTTTTTTTCATCTCGCCCTCGACAAATAGTCCACCTATCAAAGACAATCTTTGAGCAAACACTCAAAGGAATCAAAAGTCAGAATTTTCAAATCAAATCAAGCCAAAGTCAAATCAAGCGAATTGAAGAAACAAAATGACACCGAGGCCGGACGGTGGCAGCCAAATCAACTGGACGCACTTCCGACAAGCGGCAGTTTGGCAGACGGTGAGCAGGGCTCTGAAAAAGAGGCTCGGACCTGGGGAATGCCGCTCCCAGATCAAGTCAAACGAAACCAAAATGAAAAAAGCCTGGCAAATCCAAACGGAATTCCAAAGTCCATGGAAAATCCTCAACTCTTGAGACCGTCACCCCGACAACCGGATGACTTGTCACACACTTGACTTGGGAGTCAGCCAATCCTCCATCAAGCGTCTCCAGTGGGTCCAGAATGCCGTCGCTCGCCTCTTGACCGGCACTCGTACATGAAGAGGGAGCGCATCGCTGCGACTCTGGCATGCCGTCACTGGGAAGATCCTCCGATTTGGCCGCAAATCTCGAAATGGCCCGGCCCCACCTGCCCGGTGCCTGCGGTCCGGACGCCAGCGGAGGAAGCGAGAACGAAGCTGCGAGGGGACGGAGCCTCCTCCGGTGCGGCGCCCTCTCTTTGGAGGCAAGGCCCCTCGCACGGCCCATCTTTCAAACTCGCCGTTTGGATTCTTGGGCTTTGGGACTTTCAGTCGGTCTGTTTTTGCGCTTTCCGCCGTCTTCGTTCTTCATCTGTTGCTTTCTTTCGATGGATTCTTTTGGCTCGGCGTACAGCACTTTGGAGACGGAGGCGGTTCTTTTCGAGTGCTCTAGAAACACACTCGAGTTGACCCGATGCGACGCGAATGACGACGGCCGCCGGCCATCGGGTTCGGCGACGAGCGCGGGGAATCCGCCGCGACGTTTGGGAGAAAGCAAGTGACGACGATTCGGTAAGTTTTTGCTCTTTACCGTCCCGCAGCGCCGCCTGGGCCACGCCGGCTGCGCGCACTCGATGGCGCGGCGGCCCTCCGGCTCGGTCGCGAGCC